CCCCCCCCCTCCCCCTCATACTGCACTGGGAGAAGGAAAGGGAAATTGGATTTATTCCTAAGTGCCCTGCAAACTGACTATTTTCTGATGCAATAATCCAGTACTGAAATCTCTTTATTTTGTCAGGAGTGGATCGCTTAGGTCAGGGTTCTGGAAATCTGTTGATGGTGACTCTCACTGTGGTTTGCTGTGTTCTTTCAGGTGTCAATCTTAGGATGTCCTGATCCAAAGATCCATGAGATAGCCTACCAGTATGGCAGGAATGTTGGCATAGCCTTCCAGGTAGGTGTGCTCCCGCTATGGGATTCATAAAGACCTTTTTGGGAAGTTCCAGAATACCAAAGGCAGAGCAGTAAATAAATCCTACTGTTCCATAATGTTCCATCTACAAGCTGAACTCTGGGAATCGCCTCCTCCCCTTCAAGGGTTAAATGCTTCTTTTAGCCTTGGCGTTAAGGGATACGGTCTAACACTTGCCTTATTCCTCTTTGTGGCAGGCCCCCTCCATGTGTGCAATCAGTCCCTAAGCCTCTTCTAAGATTCTCTGGCCATTGGTCCCACGCTGGCGTCATCGGGTACAATGCAGGACCAATAGCCCTGCATTCTATATGAGGATGGAGAGGGACCACCTACAACCTGGAGCGTCAGAGAAGAGGTGTGCGCCCAGAGCCTGCTGGAGCAAGCAATAAGGTGAGTATTACTGCTAATTCATCCGCCTCTAGGCAGAAAGGAGCATTTAACCCTTGTGTGGCGGTGGGGTAGCTTTTGCGGGATTCAGAGTTCAGCTTCAGCATATTGAGCAGCAATGACAGAATACATAGAACCATCATAATCATTCCCTGACCATAGCAGCTGCATGCTTCAGATTCATTTAAGACTGAAGTCAGTTGATTTGTTTGTTATAGTATTTCTCTGTCATCCATCGAGGGACACGGCTCTGAAGAATTCTAAGGGCCTGTTCACACGACGTCCATTTTGTGTGCTGACCGGCTCCGTACGCTGCTGCACTCAAAATGCATCCCAATGTATCCCTATGTGTTTTATGGGCTCCAGTTCTCACGTGCGCGGTCCGTTCAGCTTACGACAGAAAAAATACTGCATGTCACATTTTGTCCGGTCCGGAAACACAACGCAATGCAGCTAAGGGGGGAAAAAAAGACAAAATTGTATTCTTGCTCCACTTATTATGATGTCATCAACGTTGCCAAAAAATTAACTGTCAGCATCCGGACCAAAAACGCGTCAAAAACGCACTGCATCAGCAGCTCCACTTCTGCTGATCAGCAACTGATCTCATGTGAACCGGCGCTAACAAGTAGGGTTATGCTGCTGCATATGCTGTGTCCCTCGATGGATGACAGAGAAAAGGATTTTACGGTATGAACAAAATCCTATTTTTAGGAGGACGGGGGGTGGCCTGGGAGCATCCATGAGGCCCCGTTCCCACTGTGCGATATGCAAATCGCGCGATGTCGCGTTCAAGCTTGCATTGCGCAAGCTTGAATCGCGGCTAAACCCGCTCCAAAAAGGGTCCTGCTGTAGCGACACAAACGACCCGCGACAGCAGGACCCTTTGCCCCATTGGATTGCATTGGAGCGCGGTAATTTGCCGCGATATTGCGGGAATTACCGCGCGATAAATCGCTCAATGTGAACGGGGTCTTACAGTCCACACAAGCATGGCATATACATACAGGGGACACCCCAAGTGACAATTGAAGCTGGGACTCCAGCACTGAAACAAAACTGTAACCCATGGACTGTGCAGTTTAATGTATTTTAAGCCTTGGCTCAAATTTGGAAAAACATTTCCCACTTGTTGTCTCCTTGTCTCTCAGCTCATCGATGACGTGTTAGATTTTACATCTTGTGCGGACCAACTGGGGAAACCAACTGCCGCAGACCTGAAGTTGGGACTGGCGACTGGTCCAGTTTTATTTGCTTGTCAACAGGTAAAGTTGGTTAAAACTTATACTACCCAGTCCTATTATGCAGTGAAGGCTTGGGGGCTCCAGCCCCAACACTGTGACTGTGCCTGATAGTGATGGCGTAATGGCTCCAGCCCCAACACTGTGACTGTGCCTGATAGTGATGGCGTAATGGCTCCAGCCCCGGCCTTGTGACTGTGGCTATTGGTGATGGTGTAATGGCTCCAGCCCCAACACTGTGACTGTTAGTTGAGATGTGGTGATGTCAGTGGTGGAGTACATGTAAATGAACACACTGTACAGTCAGGTGCTGACTCATACCGGGGTGCATAGGAGTATCTATAATTCCAGTGCCAGCCAAGTTATTCCTTTCCTTCTGGGTAATAAAATCTGAGGTATGTTTTAGGCCGGTCGCCTTGAAATAAACAAATGACAAGACGATGTGATTACACAGAACAGATTATATTATTTCCGTGGAACCATGAAGATAATGATCCAATTCTTTTGATTTTGGCTGCAGTTTCCAGAGCTGAACGCCATGATAATGAGAAGATTCCGCTTGCCGGGAGACGTTGAACGAGCGTGGGAGTACGTCTGCCAGGTAAGAGAGGACGCCGCTGCAAGTCATCACTTTCTGCTCCGCATTACCACTACAGTGTATACAGTGTGAGCTCTGCTGGGCTAGAACACACTCAGAACATTGGGCTCTGTCATCAGTATGTAGTCAGTGGACGTGTACAAGTTCCCCTGCGATCCGGCCATCATCCGAATGTTTCAAGGAAACTTATCTAGAGAGAAGTATGAATGCTGCCATTGCTGACCTTTCCTTCAGACAACGCTGGCTTACCCGGCTCCTGCCATTGCCTTCTTGCTTTGGGTCAGTGACCCAGTACAAGCATGAAGATAAGGATGTGTGACTTCTGTCCAGCTTTCCTAATCTTCACATCTGTCAGTCAGTGTGTCCTTCATCCTGCTAGGCTTACCCTTGCCATACATTGTGAAAGGTAAGCGAAGGCAGAAGGAGGAATTCATCTACCTGCTTTCAGTTGCTTATGAGGCCTCAACCCTGGACCTAACCTCCACCCATTCCTGCCCCTGATA